AGTACTCAGCTTAATTTTTCCACTTTTAACCCAAGCCCAGGGAATGGTGCCACCCACAATAGGCTGGGTCTTCCCATATCAATTAAATAAGATATCAAGACAATCTTCCAGATAATTGCCTACAGGCAAACCTAATCCAGACAATTCTTCATTGAGGCTCTCTTTCCAGGTGAGTATAGGATTTGTCAAGCTGACTATTAAAACCACCATCACAGGAAGCAAGCAAAAACATGTAAGTCAATAGGAAACAGGAAAATATTATAGACTTATTTATAACATAATTTAAAATTCATATTACAAACTTTTAAAATATAATACAGGGAAACACATTTGTAACAGCCATCAAGAAAGTTAATTTTCCTAATTTGTAAAGAATTCTTATCATTCAATAAGAAAAACCCAGTTCTAAAAAAAGAAAATATGCAAAGTTTAGATACCAGATCAACAAATACAAAGAGTCAAGATGTGTTCTAAAAAACATTCAGTTGTACCCAGAACTATAAACTAAAATAGAATATCATCTTACTATAAAAGGTTACAAAGATTTTAATATTTGATAATATTCAGTCTTGACTAGGAAGTGGGGAAAGTAATGGAATGATTTGGTAAAATCTAATTTACTTAATTGTAAATTTAAAACTAAAAGCCACACTTTGGACATGCCCACCAATCCGCATTACAGTGTAAATGACTTTGTTCATTTGACTACAGTTTCATTGACTCCCACTGCTATCCAGTCTACTGGACTAAAGTGGGCCCGGTGTTCAGTGCTATGCTTGCACCTTCGTGTCTGTGAGCTAGTTTACTGTGCCATTACCTTCTGGCTGTACAACGAGGGACACAAAGAACAGAAAGGAATCAAGAAGACACCAGGTACAGAGAAATGGCAAGATGGCAGATTGCAAGAAACAACCGTCTCAATTAAAATGCTTAGTGACAGACTGCCAACTTCTACCCAGACATCCTTGAATGCAGCAAGAAAAAGAATGAAACAGTCGGCATCCATGCAATCAGTAAGAGCTGTCCATGTGCGGTTGATAGATTTCTCTTCCCTCCCTCCCCCAAAGAACAGAACAAGAAACGAGAGACTTGTTCAAGGACATACACCTGATTGGAAGTCAGCACTAGGACCCAGGAACCCCAACTCACAGTGCAGGCAACTTTCAGCACTGGGCTGCATTCCCTTAATGTGGACATGTAAACCCAACCATATGGGGATTGGCAGGTCGGATTGAATATCACACAAGAGCATTAACAGTCTATCCCAGGGGCTCCAAGTTAAGGGTCACTGCACAATCTGCTTATTCTGTTTCAAAAGACCTCATGGGGCTGGGACATGGCTCAGTGATAGTTTGTGGTGGGTAGCTGAACTTGTCAACTTGCCATAAATCACCTGAGAAAAGTGTCTCAGTGAGGACCTGAGTTGGCTATGGGCAGATCTGTGGGGGAGTGCCTTAATTAGGTTAATCGATGCCAGGAGACCCAGTCCAGTGTAGGTGGCACCACTCTCTAAACGAGGGCCCCAGAATTTCATAAGAGTGACAAAATCAGGTTGAGCACAAGCAGTCAAGCAAGTGAGCACACACTCGTTTCTCTCTGCTTTGGAGCACGGATGAGATATGACCAGTTGTTTCAAGGTTGTGCTGGTTTGACCTTCCAATGCCATTTCTCCCTTAAGTTGCTTTTCATCGGGGTATTTTTATCACAACAGAAATGAAACTGGAACAGAGCTCTGGCCAATGGGCATAAGGCTCTAGGTTTGATTCCCAGCACCAGGAAAGACAAAACAAAAACAAACAAACAAACAAAAACAAAGAGAGACAGGAATCTCCTAATTGAGCTGTTAATGCCCACCACATATTTCCCTCTCATCCAGTGTCACCAATCACTCACTCTGTTTAGTCTCCACCCACCTGATCTCCTCGTGTCTCTTCACTCCCAGTTCAGAAGCAGTATCAGGAGCCTCTTGCCAATCTCCACTTCCTGATAATGACCCAAACCAACACTGCCCAACAATATAATACAAGCCAGATCGGAGCCATGTGCACAAGTTTAACATCACCCAGTAACCACATTTTAAAAGGTAAAGAGAAGCTAGAGAAATTTTGATAACATATTTTACATATATATATATAACATTACATCAATATCCTATCAATAATAAATTTAAATTCTTTTCACATCAATTTTTTTTAGATCTGGTGCAAATTTTACACTCACAAGGCATCTCCTTCTGCACCGGTTATGTTTTAAATGCTTAAAAGGCACAAGCCAATATCCATCATATTAGACATCATGGAAGTTCAGTGAGGTTTTTTTTTAAATCACGTCAATGCTTATCGTTCTCCAACAAATGCAAACCCCATGCATGTCTGTCCACGAAAGGGCTCTGCTACAGGACTACATTCCCAAGTTGTGCTTTTGCTTTTCTAAGTTTACTGTACGTTTGCTTTGAGACCTAATCTCAGCATGTAGCTCTGGCTGACCCAAAACTCAAGATGTAGACCAGGCTGGCCTCAAACTTACAGAAATCCACCTGCTTCCTGAATGCTCCAATTAAAGCCTCGCCTGGCTTAAGGCTGCACATTTTTAAAACTTTTTTTTATTCAGTTTCTTTAACATATCTTCACATTCCTGTTCTAATGCAAGCAACAGTTTTAGGTGGCACATGTCACATCTACGTCTGTCTTCACTATGGCGCCTCCCTCCATACCTGGCTCCTGTCTACCCACTGTTTCAAGTCCTTGCACCATTCCCGGTCTCCTGCTACCCTCTTCTCTGTGCTAACTGACCATGAAAGCGGAATGGCAGGACTTCCATCTCCTCTCCGCCCTACAGGACACTAACCCATGTAGAGGCCCCAGCCCTGCTCTCATGGATCTGGGCTCAGCCGACCTCAGAACAGCTCTAAGGTTACTTCAAAACAGGCTTGTCATTGATTTTAAATAAAAGTAGACACCTAGCCCACTTCTGTTTCTTTGCAAAATAAATTTGTTTAATAGTTGTCCACCAACACAAGACAAGTTACCTACCAGTTTTTCAAACGATGTATTTCCTACCTCAAAGATTCGGTTACCACTAAAGTTACGGTTCTTACGTAGAGATGCAGCGTCTTTGCTATAAAAAGTGGGCTGAGCATAGGGTAGACGCCTCCATGAAGTTAAATGGGCCTGGTTAGCCTATATAGGGACTGTAGGGAAAGGGGAGGCATAATCCCTTAAACACCTGAGTTTTAAATTTGTTCCGGTTTGCTTCCCTTTGCTCAGACGTTCAGGACAAATCTGCTCCCCCCTTCAGACTTTGAAATGAGGCATGTGGAACTCTGAACACGAAAGCTGCAGGACCCGGCTTTGAGTCCTCCCAGTCAGCTGCAGCCATAGGCACGAGCCCAGTTGTCCATTCATCCTGCATTTTAGACTGCCCTGCTGCCCATGGCAAGCGTGCTTAGTTCCCTCCAGCTCTGCCACCGCTAACCCTCAGGGATCATCTTCCTCTCTGTTCATTATCCCCAAGGCACCTGCATCCTCACGCACTTCCTTTTTCCTAAAAGACAAGATGGCTGGCAGCCCTGCAGTGAAAAGGGAAAGAAGGGCTGCTTCATGGGAAAAAAATCCTGAAATGAGTCATCTTTCAAGAATTTGCAATCCTAGTGCCTGGGTACAGTCAGGCTAAGTCAGCCCTCCCAGTGAAACACACTGTATTTGTTTAGTGCACTGTTCTCCGATGATATTTACACTGTACACCGTCCTTTATAAGAGCCACTTGTAGGAACAAAGTACGTAAGCTATGCACAGTTGTAAGCGGCACAGTTGACTTTAAATGAGCCTAAAGAAAATCAGATCAAGTTGGAGTTTCCGTTAGGTTTTGGACCCACTGCTTTTGACAAGTTAGGGAAAACCGCTACAGCTCCCCAAACTTCCCACTTGCTCCCCCAGGCACTGCAGTTCCCTCAAATTTAACCAGCTCTAAGAGCTGCCCGCAAGAGCCTCTCCTGCCGCTGCTTCTCAGCAGCTCACATCAGGGGGCAGCTGCTCTTGGCTGTGGTCTGCAAGGGCTCTGCCTGGCCTGATTTTTCATGCTGCCATTTTGAATTAGCATAGGCTTCCTCAGCAAGAGATGCATCTTTTAGGCAGGCGTGAAGCACACACACACACACACACACACACACACACCAGGAAGAGACACTTTAAGCCACAATTACACAGGAAAACCATACTAATTAACGGAACCCTACTAGGTCAGCTTAGGAGACAGAAAATAGTAAGTTGCCTTAAATACAAATGGGTGTGATCGACGTTTTTATTCCTAAATTCTAACCGATTTTCTAAAATTCAAACATCCCTCTCGAACTGTAGACCTCACAGGGGTTGCTAAATAATTATGCCGGGACAGAAATAACAAAACGAGGAGGTAAACTGAGGTGGACAGCTAGCAAGGGTCTAGACACCTGCCATGACCCCACCCCCAACTCCAATGCAGGGGTGAGACCTGGGCGAAGCAGTGTCAAGTCCCACCAAGCTCATTGGCCTTTGGGGGCGTCCGCAGACCTTGGCACTCTGCGGGGGCGGCCCAGGGCAGCAGCCCCATCAGGCGCCTCAGGTGCATCACTCGGGGAAGAAGCCAGGCTCTCTGGGCTAGCGGAGCCCGCGAGCCCGAATCCCCGGGAGCCGCTCGGGGAAGCACAGAGACACTGTACCCGACGTTACAACTGGGCGCCCAGGAAAATCAGCGGCGGGGTTGTAAGACTAAAAGGGAGGCGCAGGAAGGATGCGCGGTGGAGAGTAGGAGCAGGTTCTGACCAGACTGCAGTAGCTTCGTCCCCGCAGTCCTGCTCTTGAGTCACGCCCGATCCAGGGCACCTTTCATCGGCTCTCCCCTCCCCCGGCCCGCAATCCGGAGGGGAGGCACCGGACATTAGAACAGCTATGGGAAATGTGGTGACTGTCCAGGGGACGATCAGCTGCCCGCGCCCGGGGCTCCCCGCCTGGCCTGCGGCTCACCTGCTAAGCACCGGGCTCCGGTCGGATCCTGTGGTGCTGATGCTGATGAGACTGCCGAGTTGAGGGCGCTGCAGCTGCTGGGCTACTGCGTCTGCATCAGGGGCTGCAGCGGCAGGAGAGCAGGCGACCGCCGGCGCTTCTAGATCTCCCAACTCCAAGCTCTCCAGTCCCCTGCAAACAGCTGGCTGGGTCACGTGACCGCGGGCCCACCCTCTGCCTCCCGGCGCTCAGAGCCCCAGGACCAGACTGTGTTTGCTGTCAAGGCCTCGGAACCCGCCCCACCAGGGAGGGGAGGGGAGAGGAGGGCACCAGGAGCCCCAAGAGCAGCAGAGAGGGCGGGACTCAATCAGAAAGTGGCTCCCTCCTTTCTAGATTTTTATTTCTTGGTTGCAGCTCTCTCAAAGGGAAGAACTGGAGCTTTAAGGAGCTAGGTCCAGCTTCCTCCTGGCAACGTTTCACTGACCCTGGTTGTTGGTCGTTTGTCTGGACCTTTGGCGCCTAGGCGAGAATTCCCTGCAGAGATTTTCCTTCTGCATCTGGTTGACTCATATGTCCAAGTCGTTCCCTGATGTTAACCGATTGTCTTCATAAGCCAGACTGTGCAGCGTATTCACACTTTGTGGACCAAGGTCACACAAGTAGCAAAGCCAGGTCCACCCCAGGGTTAATAAACTTTTTTTTGGAGGGGAGTGATGCCCACCTTAATGCTACTGACAGTGCATCTGGGGTTGAGACTCGATTGACATTGTATAAATTGATAAGAAAAGGCCGTATCAAACTATCAGAAGCGAGTTCACAGAGAAATAAGGGCAGTAAACCCACTAGTGGGAGAAGACCTACATGCATTTTCCAATTATCAGATGAACATAAATCAAAGTTTTATATCCTGAATGGGGGGATTTGGCTATATCTGTCAAAGCAGGGACATGCATACCTTTACCTGATTCCACTTTAGGAATTTATCCTACAGAGGGAAGGGCACAGGTATGAAATGAACCGGAGGTCCTCTGTGGCCATATTATCTGTTACTAGCTTCGGCTGGCACACACCTAAGATCCTATCTTAAGTGAAGTAGCAGGGACAGTTGAAGGTTGGCCTGGGCTACATAGTAACACCTGTTTCAAAAAAACACATTAAAAGATCTAATCAAATTCAGCCTATAAATATGGGAATGCTATCCATCATATTTTAAATATCGGGTAAGTGTGTACTGATACAATTTTTTCAACCTATACCAAATAAAAGGCTAAAGTGAAGAAAAGTTATGCGCACACACACAAAAAAGCTATATACTTGACTTTCCCTTGCCAATGCATAGACTACCTTTAGAAGGATTCATGAGAAATTTTAACAGGAAATTCCACATTGAAGGAGAGCTGGGTGACTGGCTGCTAGGAAAAGAAACGTTTTACCATGTCTCTTAAATGTGTGTACTTGTAGCTTGTCGGGTCAATGAATAGACCATGGGAGAAGGGAGAGGGAATGGAAGTGTAGAATAGATCATTGGTTCACAGACTTGGAACACAGAGGCGACTTATTGTTTATTTACTCCAAACAAGGCACTGTAGCCTAATGCATGTGGTTAATCAACATTAGAATCTCCAAAAGAGCTTAACCTGGGGCCCTGCCCATAACTACTGAGGTTGGTCTCCAGAGCTGAGGCCAGGGAGCTGGAAATCTGTCACACTTTGCGCTTTTCCTTGTGAGTTAAACTTGGACAGGTACTGTTTGAAGTGTCTCCCTTATCTTCAGAGTCTACAGAGACACTATGCCACGGTGTTAGCAGCACTTACTAAGCATTGATAAGATTTTTTTTCTTGGCTTTGTACAAAAGAGACAGACTCTGCTGCCATTTAAGTCACACAAATAGAAATAAGGGAACAGAACAGTCCAGCAGATACAGAAAACATCCAGAAATATCAGTTACAGCTTTAATCATTGGCCTCTACCAATCATGTGACGTCTAGCTTCGGGTAAATTACTAGCCTTCTGTGAGCTAACCTCCAAGGAAAAATCTCTGAAATAACATACAATTGCTACATAGTCAATGATAGTCTACCCAGCATTCTCAGAGGCTGAGAGCTAGTAAATAACAGTGCATTGTAATCTGCTTTAGTCCACGAAGTAAGGGAAACAATTTTATTCTCCAGAACCATAAAGGGGAGGTAGGGTACAGTGGTGACTTTTCCTTCATGAACTGTCATGAGGGATACTCCTAAAATCCCTTTAGAGAACCCCCTGTGGGTGTACTTCTAGTGTTATTTATAAGCAGTAAGATTGAAATAAGATCATTTGGGAAACTTCAAAATCTACAATCCCAACAACCTTGTAACTGTTCCTGCATACAATCTCTCTTCCCACTTAAATTACTGTTAAGAACATACATAGGGGCCAGTGAGCAGCCTTAAATGGTAAGGCACTTGCTGCAAAGCCTACCAACCTGAGTTCTGTAATGATATACTATTTATGATTTATTAAAGTTTTCCTGAAGATGCAGAAAGCAAAGTCAACCTCAAGCTATAGAGATCAGGCAGTGGTGATACATATCTTTAATCCCAGAAGCCATAGAGCTAGGCAGTGGTGGTACCACCTTTAATGTCAGGACTCAGGAGTAAGAGGTATATGTATCTCTGTTAGTTCAAGGCCATGCTCAGCTACATGAAATATGTCCAATCCTAAAGAGAAACAGCTCACACAAAGATGATCCCAGCACACGCCTTTAATCCCAGGACTCATGAGAGGTATTAAAGACAGGAACAGGGTCTCAGAACTGGCATTCATTCTCCAGCTGCATTGAGAATAGGAAGGCATAGATTTCTCCAAGAATTTTCTCCTGTCTTTGCATGCAGAGTTTGATAACATTAGAGTATACTCAGGATCCTGATTCATTCCCTGTCATTTCTGAGAAAGGGGAGAAAAGGTCAATTACTTTGTAGATACAACTATTCAGTTATTCAGTACCATTTGATTTTTTTCCCACTGAGTTACTTTGCTGTTGTAAGAAAAAATCAATTGTCTTGTAAAAATGCAAGTCTATTTTGGCTATGTTGTTCCATGTATTTATTCTTCTTTTTTTTTTTTTTTTTTTTGGTTTTACGAGACAGGGTTTCTCTGTATTGTTTTGGAGGCTGATGTTTATTCTTACATCAATACTGCATTCTCTTGGTTGCTATAGCTTTATAGTGAGTCGGGGAGCTTAAGTCTTCCAACTTTGGTTTCTTTCAAGACTGTTTTTGGGTGTCCTAGGTATTTTGTACTTCCCAATAAACTTTAGAATCTTTCCATCAGTTTCTATTATTAAAATCTTGACTGGTATTACCTTTAATATACAGATGGTTTTGGAGAAAAATTCCATCTTAAGCTGCGTTTCCTAATATATGAGCACATTTCCCCATTCATTTAAGTTGTCTTTAAATTTTCCCAGATTTTTAGTGTCCAGCAGCAAGTCTTATGCAGACTTTGTTTAGTAAGTATTGCATGTTTGTAGATGCTATTGTAACTACTAATTTTCTGCCTTACTAGTTATTTGTCACTAATGTATAAAAGCAATCAATGTCTTTCATGTGTGTGTTGTGTGGGTGTGGATGGATACATGCATGACGTACATATGGAGGTCAGAGAGGAACCTTGGGTATCAGTCCCCAGGTGCTTTCCACCCACTCTTTTTTCCTGGAGACAGGGTCTCTCCTTGGCCTGCAGCTTGACCATGTAGACTAGGTTGGCCTTTAATCTATCAGGGATCTGTCTGGGTCCATGTCCTATCTCTCTGTTGCTGAGATTACAGGTACATACCACGCACAGCTTTCTATGTGGGTCTTGAAGATCTGGATGCAGGATCTCCCATTGCATTGTCAAGACAAGCACTCTATCAACTGAACCACCTCCCCAGCCCAGCAACTGACTTGTATATGGCTTCTCTTCCACTTAGCATGATGCTATATGCCCAAAACGTCATAGTAGGAAACACATTTGACTATACATGGCCTATAGCAGCCTAGCCTGGAAGAATGTCTTCCAGGAGCTGATACTGAGGATCACAGCATGGAAAAGTGATTTCAGCTTTGAAGTGAAAAGATTTAAATCAGTCAAGCACATCTTTAATCCCAGCACAGGAAAAGCAGAGACAGGTAGATCTCTTGTCAGTTTGAGGCCAGCTTAGTCTACATAGCAAGATTCATGCCAGGGATGAGTCTCTGTCTCAAAAACAAACAAAACAAAAACAAAAAATTACTCAAACTATCATGAAGGATTATACTTGTTGACTACACTGGTTAGCTTTTTATCAACTTAACTGAAGCTGAAGTCTTATGTGAAGAGGGAGCCTCAGATGAGAAATCGTCTAGATCTGTTGGCAAGTCTGTGGGACATTTTCTTGATTAATGATTGTTGTATTTTCTAACTCTTATCCAAACATAATGAATTCCTATTACTAATAAGGATGTAAAACCAAAAATAGACCATCCCTTTATGGTCTCTTCTTTAGATCTCGTCTTCAGGTTCCTGCTCTGACTTTCCTCCATGATGGACTTTCTTCCCTATAATCTGTCTTCCATAGGGTTTCTATTGCTCTGATAAAATACCATGACCAAAAGCAACTTGGGGAGCAAAGGGTTTATTTCATCTTACAACTCCCAGCTCAAACTCCATCACTGAAGGAAGTTAGGGCAGGAACTCAAGCCAGGAACCTGGAGGCAGGGTCTGAACAGAGGCCATATAGGAGCATTGTTTATTGGATTGCTCCTTATGGTTTGCTCAGACTTCTTTCTTACACCATTCAGAACCACCTAACGTGGGGTGACACTACCCACAGTGTGCTGGACCCCTATACATCAACCATTAATCACCAAAATGCCCCCACAGCCTTGCCTACAAGTCAGTCTTATGAAGGCATCTTCTAAATTGAGATTCCCTCTTCTCAGATGAATCTAGGTTTGTGTCAAGTTGACAAAAACCAGCACATGATCTTTATCCCAGCAAACTGCAACCTTGTTAAATGTCACTTACCACTTACACTTTGTCACTCATTGACATTCTGTTTATCCAAGGCCATGATGAATTCAAATATATTGTAGTTCTTCCTTTCTGATGTAGATGCTTTCTAGTTCTCTTTCATCTGCCACTGCTTTTGCCAAGACCTTCTTAACAACACTAAAGAGGAACAGTGCAAACAGAAGTGTCCATCCTTGGTCCCCTCTCATGGCTCCTGTTACTCAAAAATCAAGCCCATGCAGGGTGGAGATTAGTCAGAAAGGACATTATTGGTATTCAGGTGAGATCAC